CTGGGACCTCAGGCAGCTCCTTCTGTCACTGCTCCTGGGGCCACACCCTCTTCCCCCAAACGGCTCTTCTGTAGAGCTGTGATGTTCACGTCCCCACTCTTCTCCAATTCTAGCTTTTCTTTCCTTCTGGCTCCAAGGTGCTCTGTCTCTGTGTGTCTATGTGTCTGTGTATATTTGGGGAAAAGGGCAATCTGCAACTCACCCACCGAGGTTTCTTACTACGATCATAGTTCTAAGGATAAGTAGAAAAGGAATAAGGATATTACGATTACCTGTGGATTTTGTTCATTTCATGCTCTTTGGTCAGAAAGTAAACCTGGGAAAGTACCAGCTCTTTCTTGGGAGAAAGATTAAGAGGATACCATCTAAGAAATTTTAGTTTTTCAGTTCCATTTTGCATTACCTGAAGAAATTGGTATGTTACATGCATGCTTTGGGATGAATTTGAACATAGTCTAGTGAATGTGCCTTAAAAAAGCAGTTAAGGTCCAGACGCATGCTGAAGACAGGTGTTAGAAGCCAGCGATTGTGAAAATTTGGATTCTGTGTCCTTCAGTGACAAAAAGGGCAACAAAATTGCAGAAGTTTGTCTTTGGTCTGGAAATAGAGCATTTACCTCTAAGTTTACATTTGGAGGAAATTCTAAATTTAATAAGCAGTGGTGGTGATTTCAAACCTCCTAAGGACATGGGGTCTACAGTGAGGGGAGACGCTGGGCGGGCCGTGGCTCTGTTACGCAAGCACAAACCCTCTCTCCTAGCTGGAGTCCCTGGTGTTCCCTTAACTGCGGCAACACTGGCCTTCTCTCCAGAATTCTTTGCCCCAGCTAAACTATACCTGTGACCTCAGAGCATACTTTTCCAGAGAGCTGAAGGAGTCTGCTGTGTTGTGGGGCCCGGCCCTGAACGGGAGCAGACCAAGGGAGGGCTCTCGTTTGTACTGGGTCCCTGTCTTTCTGTATCTCCAGTTTGCAATCTTGTCATCTCAGGATACTGGGGGTGGGGGGAGAGGCGTAGCAGAAGTGTGCAGATAGATTTAATTTTCTGACCAAGGTGAGAGGCAAGATGGTCTTATAGAGAGCACTGTTGCACTTAGTTAGCTATGTGATTCTGAGCAAACCACATGATTTTCCTAGGTTGTTTTCTCATCTACACACTGAGGAGGTTAGGCTGTCAAAGCTGCAGTAAGAATTAGGGTGAATGAAAATTGATCCTTGCTTTCATCACCACCTTTTCTGGCTCATCACTGTGCCTTCTTTCCTTCCTCAGAAACCTGTCACACCCGTTCCTCTCTTCTGTTCTACTGCGCCTCTCCCTTCCCCCATCAAGGTCAAGGCAGAGCTGCAGATTAGGCCAAGATCCAGAGTTTCCTAGAGTGTAATTTAGAGTGGCTTAGAAAGGGAAGCCTGACTCTGGCCTCTTTAATCCTGCAGAGTTTCAAAGGGGACTTGGTCAGGATGGGGGGCACTTCTCTTGCTGGGAGCAGCCATTTAGCCAGTTTTCCTAACGCCTAGAATGTGTATGTCCATTTCCACAAGATTGTCTTTTCCTATTCTGGAGTGGTCATTTTATTTTTGTTCCAAATTATCTGGAGTTTTAGACAAACTTGCAAAACTGTGCTTTTATTAAGTGACTTTTTGAATAAACTCTTTGGTATTGAGCAAATGTATTTATTTACTGGTATGTGCAATGACAAAGTTGGTATTTTCCCATGTTGACATTATATATGTTGTAGAACTTAGTGTTTGTCTAAGTACAGACCATATAGCAACAAATTAAACTTGAACTGTTTCAACACTGCTGTGCATTTTTTTTTTTCCCTATAAAAGGGGAGAAAACATTTCTTACCTACAAGTGTATTCGTTCCGTCTGTCCTAAGAGCCTGGGGGTGGGGGTGGGTAGGAAGGGCTCACAGCTTGTTTGGAAATACTACTGTGTGGGCCGACGCTGTCCTCCCTCTGGCTGAGCTCAACAGATTTAAGGCTGGGCAGAACCACACACAGGCTGGGAAGGGCTGGATAGAAGAGACTTCGGTTAAAGTAGTTCTCTGCAAGCATGGGCGGTTTAGTTCCTCCATATGCCCCTGGGGGCCTGGTTCTTAGGACAAAAGTAAGGAGAGCTGGTTTTAGTTTTTTTACCCTAGATTTGGAGTCTTTATGTGGCTAAGATCCTGCCAAAACCCCAGCCCAGCTCCTTGGCTCTGCCTCTGTGGGAAACCGCAGATGTAGGTTCGGACCAGAGGTTTTTGTTGGTTAGTGGTCAGGTGAGAGACAAATCTTTTAAATAGCCACGGACGGGGTGACCATAGGTCCATGGCAGTCCAGGTTTATACCTATTGTCCTGGCATCATTCTAATTAAAGCTCCCTTTTCTCTCTCTCTCTCTCAAGGGGTCTTAGTTTGGACCATGAGTTATCTGATCACCCAAGCCATAGAAGGTACAGAGAGAGTGGTTCTCAAAGGCCATCTCTTCAAAAGGTCCAGTATGCCTCCATTCTTCAACATGCCTTCCTTCCTGGGCCTAGTCTTTTAGAGCACGTGCACTGCTAGTCCTGGAGCTCACAAGGCGCTTTCCTTGTGCTATTAGGACTAGGAAAGCAGCTCTCCTGACTGGCTCGCCCTCTTAACTTAACCAAGCACAGTCCCAGGTGATACCCGTGTTTCCTAGGCCATTTGTCCATCCCCAAAGTGAGGACTTCATGCTCTCCGCCACAGTGCTCAAAGGTCACTGAGGACCTAGTACCTGGGGGCTGATCAAGTTCACAGCCCAGACCAGTTCTGAGAAGTGAAGACCATAAGGAAAGAGTACACATGACAAAAACCAGTCCTCTGATTTTGGTCATCCTGGGTTGTATATACACACAGTTGTCATCCCTGAAGGATAAAATAATTCGGGAAAATCCACAAAGCACTAAATGACCAAACATTTCTGAAATATAAATGTTAATATATCCTAGCTGTATAAGCCAACCAAGAGTGAGGGCAGTAGGAACCATCATGAGCTCTTAGTACTTCTGGCAGGAGATAGTTCCATAAGCCAGTTTCCCCCAAAGATTAACATTCAAAATAAAGAGTTGGTTACAGGACATCTTACATACCAGCCTCATAAAAATACCTGAACATCCACATACTTCCACACTTGTCTGTTTTGTCCAACACCGCTTTTTGTGCCAAGAATGACCGTTCTTTTCCTTGGCCACCTGGAGAAGTTCTTAGCATGCCTGAAGATCCAACTCCCCGGTAAAGCTTCTTGGAAGTACTTTGGCAAAAATGATCTTTGTGCTCCTGTAGACTTGGGTCCACATCTCAATTACAGCATAAAACCTTGTACAATAAAAGTAAATTAGCTACCACCTAGTGAGTGGTTAGCATGGAGGAGATGGGAGGGCCAATGCTGTTTTAGATGCACTGATGATTCACATTTAATCCTCCTACCCAACCTGGGAGAGCTGGACTTCGACTCCACTGTGTCAGGAGAAAGCCAAGTCTCAGGAGGGGTAAGGAGCCAACAAGAGTCTACAGATAGAATAGGCCGGGATGGAATCATGACCAATATTTCTCTGCCTGCAGAATTCACAATCTTGAGCCCTTTTACAGTTAATCATTCATTTAAAAAAAATTGGGCAAGGCTCCCACACTAAGCTTTCTTGTTTCTTGAAGGTAGGAATTGAGGCTCTGTTCCTGCTGCTCAGCTCTGGGCAGTGTCTGCTAAATGAATAAATGAATGAATAAGCTAGAAAAAAACACATCTCTAAGAAGGGAACCATATATCCTAAGGCAAAAAAAGAAGGAACCAGGGACCCAGGACTCCTTATAAATCAACCCCTCGCAGTGAAAAAAGGGAAATGACAGGGAAAGTGATTTATCAAAACAGTAAAGAGCACCTACATTCTTTTTTTACCTTGAGCATTACATCTAGATAACTTCCAGCACATTTTAAAACTATACTCTAAAGTGAATCAAAGGTTCCACACAGATGGATGCAATATACTTTTCCTACAGACTCAGTCTTCAATGACTTTTCTCTGTAACAAGAAATGTTAATTTCATTAACATTAATTTCATTAAGAAATGCCTACTATTAGCTGACATGTTATCTAAATATCCCATAACCTTCTGACAGCAGTCTATATGCCTATATGTTTGATGTCAGCTATTTTCTTGGCATTTTAGTCGACCAGGAACAATGGAACTCTAAAAGCCCTACAGACCTTTACATCGTTTCTCAGTTTTCAAGTCTTCCACATTTCATGATGAGAAATGTTCCTGGGAATGTGTCTTCTTTAAACTCTCAGGTCTTAACATGTAAACTGAATTCACTCATCCTTCCTAGACAGGATGCGTGGGTGCCATCTTATCTCAAGAAGACAGATGACAGGGGCGCCTGAGTGGCTCAGTCATTAAGCGTCTGCCTTCAGCTCAGGTCATGATCCCAAGGTCCTGGGATTGAGCCCCGCATCGGGCTCTCTGCTCAGCGGGAAGCCTGCTTCTCCCTCTCCCCCCGCTTGTGTTCCTGCTCTTGCTATCTGTCAAATAAATAAATAAAATCTTAAAAAAAAAAAAGATGATAGGTGGCACCCTTAGAAATTAGGCCTTTAGTGAGAGGTTAAGACTGGGAGGATTTTGACCAACCTCCTCCCCTTCCCAGCTTTCTCAAAAGACCCAGATACCTGAATATAGCATAGTCTCTTTCCTTGGGCACTGCTATAGGTTCTCTGCAACAGACACACACTGCAACTTTCCTTTCGGCCCGGCACTTTGTCTAGGAGTTCAGTCCTCCTCATTTCTGTTTCAATTCATGTGGTAAGAACAAATTTCCCAGAGGGCACAACATTTAGAAATAGCTGTCCTTAAGTACATGGATTCTCTCCCACCCCTCGCTCTCTGGTCTGACCGCCTCGTGGAGGTCCACCACCCTTACACAGGCTTTTGTGTAGCCTTCCCAGCCTCCAACCTTGGCTCTGCAGGGCAAGGATTAAAGTCTCTATTTAAAGCTTCCTCTGGCCACTGAAGGCCAGAGGTACAATGGTGCTTCTGGGTTGGCAGTTCTGTCAAACAGAACAGGTATAAAGGAAGCTAAAGACCCAGCAATACCAGAGTAACAGTCCCCCAGCTGGTCTCTGGGCTCATTCACAGGTCACTGGGAGCCTTCTGCTACTCTGGAGAAAAGCGGGTATCTGAGGCAGCAACAATGCTCCCCAAAAGGCCCTCACTGTGAGGAAGGCGCTTCTTCAGTTCACACAGCAGAGTCTTACCCTGCTCTGGCCCCATCATACCCACTAACAAAATGTTCTCTTCTTGAACCCAGGGGACCACTAACCTGCTCAAGGCCCACAGAGTAAGGCATCCTGGACTCTATAATCTTCACTTTTGCAGCCTTAAGTCCTCATCACATGTAAACTAATGTTTGTTCACAGGTAAACCATCTGCTACTCCTAGCACGAAGTCAGACCCCTGCCCCTGAGTGCCCAACAGATCAAACATAATTACTCAATGGATCAACTCTCTGGTGGAAGAAAGGCATGAAGAGTGAAGCTGTACTGTGTTCATACTAATTGCTATGGTGTTTTACAAGGTGACAGGTGTGTGAGCACCAGGAAGGATATCCATGGTAGTGGCCTGATTAGCTAGAATATTTAAATACAGAATGAAATTCAGGGCACAGGGCCAAGGATGAAATCAGAGAGGAGAGAAAGGTCACCTTGGAACTAGAGTAATGGATACTTCCGGAAACCAACTAAAGCAGAACCTGGGGGTTCCGCTTCCTCAACGTGCCACCTGTATGTACTTTATCAGGGCTGATGCCCAGGCCTTCATCTCTGAAGTCTTGGGGCCATACTTCTTTGGTGGTTTCCTCTTGCTCAGTGTAAGTGTCTGCACCAAATCCAGCATTCTCTGCCAAGACCGCAGGATCCTCTTCATGAAAACAGCAGGAACAGGTTTGTGGCTTTGGGTCACATGAGGTAACAGAATTCTCTTCCCGGGTGCTGGGGTCAGTGCGCATTTCCCAACCCAAATGGTCTGATTCTTCACCTTCCAGCACTCCCATTCTTTCAGCTAGTTCTTCAGCAGAGGGCTCCTTGGGGTCAGGGTAATCCACCAGGATTGTTTCTTGCCTACGCTTGATGCAATCTGAAAGGTCATAAATTGGATAAGTCTCTTCAGGGTAACCTAGAGAAAAAAGTAGCATAAAGTCTTACAAGGAATGTCTCTTCAACAGAAAGTATCAGGCTCAAAGAGGCTTCTCAGGCGGCAGCCATCCTATCCCCACAAATCCATTCAAAAAATCTCTGATGACTCTAACAGTTCTCAAGTTTTACTTGAGTAAATTCTTAGCAATCTGGCGGACTATCCCAGTGTTTTTTGAAATACAAACCAACTCAGAAGAAAATCCCTTCTCAAGTGCAGGGTGGTTAGGGCAGAGTCGAAGCCTCGCCGCCCCCTGCCCGCCCCCGGCTTCTGCAGTGACTAAGATTAAACAATGTGAGCCTTCAGTTAAAAAAAAAAAAAAAAAAAAAAAAAGGTACCAAACACCAGATGGAGAGAGCATAGCTCAAGGCTAATGTTGATAATTTCTATTTGGATCCATTTCCAAATCTTCCTGGGGGGAGGGGGGAGGGGGAGAAAAGGAAGACTAAGGTCTTTGAAGAAAAAAAAAAAAAACACCACGAAGCCTTCGACTAATGGAAACAACTGAAAGGGCTTGCAAGTGTCAGAGAAAGCCCCTTCAGCAAGACATGCCCGAGATCCCAAAGGACAAGCCCTGCGTTTTCACAAGACAGAATTCCCATTGTTGGCTTCTTCGTCTCCACAAAATGGAACAAAAGACAACAAACCAGTAAACAAAATGAGTAATACTAGTACTGAATCCCAGCTATGATAATGAGAAAAGATGGAAAGCTGCCAAATTAAAGAACAAACTGAAATCAATCTGTGTCCGCCAAGCTGTGCCGGAGCAGCAGATGGGCCTCGCCCGAGCTTGTGTGCTGGCGCTGGCGCGGCAGCCGTGCGCCCTGCACGGCGCGAGAAGCCGGAGAATCCAAAATCCATTTGCACATTATGATAACTGGCAAATTCAACCCTAATGCAAACCACTTTTTGCCTGCAAATTCTGAAAAGCAGGGGTCTTTTTTGATGCAGTGTAGAGTGTGGAGAGACCTATTTTAACAACATTTACTGGGGGTTTTTTTCTGATTATAAAAGTCATACAGAAAACTCACTACAGAAAATTTTTAAAAACACAGACAAGTTTAAAAAAAAAAAAAACAAAAAACACAAGTCACCCAGAATCCTACCACTGATAATAATCTGTTGTGTTACTTCTGGCCTTTTTATCATGTATAAACATACTGTGTGTAAAATGTAATACTCTGATTTTTTTCATTCAGCGTTCTATCGTGAGCTGCGAAATACCCCATCATACAGCTACATAACGGACACGACTGGCCGTGCCTCTTCTGTAAGACACGTAGATTCTTTCCAGTTTCCCCTTATTATAAGTAACTTGGCAGTTAGGATCTCTGAATAGAAGTCTATGTCCACTTCCCTATTTCTTTAAGATAGCCCACTAGAAATGTGAGAACTAAAGGGATCAGACATTTTCCAAGCCTGTTTTTACACTCCACCAAATGGGTTTCCAGAAGAATGTCTATTTTCCGTCCTACCGGTGACATAAAAACTTGTCCATCTGATCACATCCTCGTCATCACTGCCAGTGGCATGTGAAGCAGTGTCAGTCCGCTGGCTTAACTCACTATGGATGGAATGCGAGGTAAAACAGCCTAGCCACCCAAGGCCCTCACAGCCTCCCTGGTCAAGGACAGGGGCTGGAGAAGCATACTTGTTAATCAGCTCCCAGCCACTTAATACTTAAGAGAAGTCCATTTTCTGGCATGTTCCTGCCTTCTCCACACCAAGGACAAAGCTTACCTTTGGAGTTCCATGGCTATCTGCTTTGGTTTAAGAGGGGAAGGCCTGCTAAGGAAAACCAAATAGAGACTCACAAACAGGCTGCTGAGGTAGCCCACTATCAGCCAACATCGCTGGTTATTCAAGAACTTCATTAAAAATATGAGGAAGCTATAAAACTCATTGATCCTATGAGGAAGTCAGCAGGGGAACCAAACTAAGCAAACTGTGTAAATAGCCCCTAAAAAAAAAACAAAAACAAAACAGCAGTCAATGGTGGAAACAGGAGTTAATATCAATCAACTTGTAACCGATACTCCCAGTAATATTCAAAATACTACTGCACTGATAAAACCAACCAGACTTCAATATAAAAAGGGGAGGAAACAGGAAATAAGAGCTTTTAGAAATAGAAAATATTTAAACTTGAGAAAGGGAAAAAATAGATTAAAATGGACAGGGCTAAAAGCCAAATTAGTACATTAGAAGTCCAAGTATAGAAATTCTTCTAAGACAAAGGTAAAAATGACAAAGAAATGGAAATTGTGAGAAAAAAATATATATAGGCTGCATTGAAAGCTGATCCAGGACATCCAATCTCCAAATTACTGGGATTCCAGAACGAGGGCAGAGTAGGTTAAATGGAAGCAATAACCAAAAAGAAAGGTTATACAAGAAAATATCATTTAGCTGAAGAAAGACTCAAGTCTTCAGATGGAAGAGTCACTAAATGCTAGGCAAAAATACTATGAAAAATTCACATACTCACACACACTCAGATATATGCCAGTGAACCTGCCCAAATTTGAATGTTTAAGTATTAAAAGATTATACATTTCCAGCCAGAAAACAAACTAAAAACAGATTGCCTATTGAGAAAAAGAATCAGACTGTGATAAGATTTCTCATTTTCAACATCAAATGAAAGATAATACAGCAATGTTTTCAGACTTACAAAGAAAAATGGCATGATCAAATAATTATTTGTATAAAGGTAAAAAATGGTATGTGTAGATAACCAAGTACTCAGAAAGTACACCAATCTATAAGGGGGTGAGTGCGTAGGGGGTGGAGGTACTTAAGAGTTCTGACAAATACAAAAAAAATTTTTAAATCTGAGGAAGATTATACTGTATATGAGAAAGTGGTAAACAATGAATCAGTAAGAAGTATCAGTGTAAACTAATTATTGGTAAAATGGTTAGAAATTTAATGCCATTGTTGAAATACTTAAAATAGGCTAATATATTTGAAAGTTAATATCACTTGGAGCTAAAATTCTATATAATTTCAACACCACCTAAGAGGAACACAGAAAATAAACGTGATAAAGATTTTACCTTCTTTGGGAACAAGGTTATATAAAAAGATTTACAATTTAGAGGAGAAAATGAATTCCAATTTTCATTTCTTTGATTACTAGAAAGACTGAAATACTTTTTAATGTTTTATAGCAAGGTGTTTTTTTCTTTTGTGTACTGCTTACACAGGAGGATATCAGTTTTATAAATTACAGAATGCTTTACATATTAAAGGTATCAACTTTTCAGTCATTTGTCACGAATACTTTTTCTAGTTTAGTGTTGGCTTTAAATTGTGTGGTATTCTCTAATCTAAGTAAAGGTTTTATGCATTCAGGCTACATTATCCTTTCCCTTACAATTTTCTTCATCGCTTTTAAAAAATTTAATTGCAGGGGCACCCGGGTGGCTCAGTCAGTTAAGTGTCTGCCTTCGGCTCAGGTCATGATCCCAGGGTCCTGGGATCAAGCCCCGCATTGGGCTCTCTGCTCAGCAGGGAGCCTGCTTCTCCCTCTTCCTACCACTCTGCCTACTTGTGATCTGTGTCAAAAAAACAAAACAAAACAAAAAAACTGCAGATTCACATGTGGTTGGAAAAAAAAAAAATCCCATGTACCCATAACCCAGTTTCTCCCAATGGTAATATCTTGCCAAACTATATGACAGTACACAACCAGGATGTTATTGATAGAGTCAATATACAGAACATTTCTATCATCACAAGGATCCCTTATGCCCTTTATTTGCCACACCTATTGCCTCCTGCCTCTATTTCCTCCTTAACCTCTGGCAACTACCAGTCTGTTCTCCATTTCTATAATTTTACCATTTTAAGAAAGTTATATAATTGCACAGTATGGAACCTTTTGGAATTAGACTTTTTCACTCAGTATAATTATCTGGAAATTCATCCAGGTTGTTGCATGTATCAATTTCTTTTTATTGCTGAGTAGTATACCGAAGTATCAATGTACCACGGTTTTGTAACCACTTACCTGTTGAAGGCTGTTTGGGTTGTTTGCAGCTTGGGGTGGCTACAAATAAACCTGCCATAAATATTCATGTATAAGTTTTATGTGAATTTAAGTCTTAAGTTCTGTGATACATGCCCAGGAGTGCAACTGCCAGGTTGTAAAGTTGTTGAAGATTTATGAAACTGCCAAAATGTTTTGCAGAGTAAGTGTACATCCCCACCACCAATGTATGAGTGGATCTAGTTTCTCCATATCCTTGCCAGCATTTCGTGTTGTTACTGTTTTTTATTTTAGCCATTCTGATAGATGTGTAGTGGTTATTTCATTGTGATTTTAATCTATTTCCCTAGTGGCTAATGATGTTTAACATCTTTTTGTGTGCTTATTTGCCATCTGTATGTCTTTTTTGGTGAAAGTCTGTTCATATCTTTTGCCCATTTCCTAATTGGATTGTTTTTTACTGTTGAGTTTTGAGAGTTTTTTTTTGTTTTTTTTTTTTAAGATTTTATTTGAGTGAGAGCAAGCATGAGCAGGGGGAGGGGTAGAGGGAGAGGGAGAATCAGACTCCCCACTGAGCAGGGAGCCCAGACTCGGGGGCTCAATCCCAGGACCCTGGGATCATGACCCAAGCCGAAGGCAGATGACTCACCAACACTGAGCCACCCACACATCCCAAGAGTTCTTATATACTCTAGATATAAATCCTTTGTTGGATAGGTGATTTGCAAATATTTTCTCCCACTGTGTAGTTTGTCTTTTCATTATCTTAACAGGGTCTTTTGCAGAGCAAAAGTTTTAGATTTTGATGACCTCCAATCTATCAATTTTTCCTTTTATGAATTGTGTTTATGATGTCAAGTTTAAGAACTCTTTAACCCCAGATCCAAGATTTTCTATATATTTTTCAAAAAAGGTTTATAGTTGGGCGCCTGGATGGCTCAGTCATTAAGTGTCTGCCTTCAGCTCAGTCATGGTCCCGGGGTCCTGG